AACAGCCCAAGACGAGCTTGTTCAATAAATTACGAACGTGTGTCACGGTTTTCTCGTTCGACAGACTCAAAGCTCCCAAAAAGGACCTGTTTCAATGAATTAGGCTTGTTTTTGGGTGATTTTCCTTGTTCCATTCCACCTTAGCAAGCTCAACGCGCATCTTGAGACTCGGGTTGGGCTTTTGGCGTTTTTTGGCACCACGTTGTTCAACCAGACTCGTATCGGGCTTTTATCCGGGATTGTTAAACTTAAACTTAAAACAGCACTCTTGAACCCTCGGCTGTCCTCTCCATCATCTGACCAGCTGCAGCTTCTAGAGGTGTATCTCTTTGAATATTCCTGGGCCTTGTCCTAATTATTTTTGACTACATAGACTTTAACACATAGCGCCGGGTCTTTTGCAATATCTTTGCGGAGGGCGGCGTACGAAATTCATCGCCAACACTTACTCCCCCTTCTACCAGCAAGTCTAGACCATAACCGGTCATTTTATTGCCAGCTGAATTTAAGAGGAGTTAACGACCCGACCCGACCTTTGAATGCAGCGAAACTAGCGACCCGACGCGACCCGACCTGGCCCTAAATTGAGGAACGAAACTATTCTAAATTAGGCAGATATGTATGTATGTATGTATGCATGTATGCATATACACACACACACGCGCGCGCGCGTCCGAGTTTAGTATCATCTTGATATTAAAGAAGGTCCTTTACCACTAGTAGAGGAAACCCTAACCATTAAACCCTAAACTCATGTGTATGTATATATATATATATTTATTTATTTATTTGTTTATTTGTTTATTTATTTATGTCTGTCTGTCTGTCTGTCTGTCTGTCTGCCTGGCTGTCTGTCTGTCTGTCTGTAGGTAGGTAGGTAGGTAGGTAGGTAGGTAGGGTAGGGTAGGTAGGTAGGTAGGTAGGGTAGGTAGGGTAGGTATGTAGGGTAGGTATGTAGGTAGGTAGGGTAGGTAGGTATGTATGTATATGATGCCGGTTCCCTAAACCCCACCCCGCGTCCAAAAGAGCTGAGGCTCTACAAGACCTTGGACGGGCAAGCTTTGGATGCTTCGAAAAGTTCCTACAAGCTGGTCTTGAGCAAGAAGGCTAGGGGGCTTAGGGCTTAGATGCTTAGGCTTTAGGGATTTAGGGGATTTTCAGGCTTTGTATAGGTGTTTTAGGCTTTGGGGTTGTAGGCTTCAGGGCTTTAGGAATTTAGGTTTCGATGGTTTCATGATTTAGGGTGTGATGTCTTTCTGGTGTACGGGTTAGGGTAAAAGGGGCAGGGGTCTTGAGCAAGAAAGCCAGGATTCACTAACTGGTTCCTTTGTTGTTGTGCTCTTCCTTGTCTTGGTTATGGTGCCTTGTAATGGGATCTCTGAGGGGAGAGCTCATGGTATGTTTAGAGTTTAGGGGCTTCATGATGGTGTTAGGAGTTCCGGAATTGAGGGGTGTGGGGGGGTTAGGAGGAGTTTCGACCTGTGTTCGGGGATTCGGGTGGAGAGTTTCGGAGGGCAGGGCCTCTTCCGAGGACCAGCTGTCAACCCTAAGCCCAAAAGCCTTAAACCCCTAAACCCTGAACTTTAAGCCCTAGACATATGCCCCTAAACCCTAAACCCCTGTGTGAGCCCTACTGAGGATCAAGAGATTCCCAAGGCGTTCTGGTCTTTGACGATGACTTTCCGCTGCAGATATGTTGGTCCGTGTTGTAATTAAGACCTGATTCGGGTTCAGGGTTCAGGGTGTAGAGCTTCGGGTATGAACTTCAGTTATCTCGAAAGATCCGGGTCTCGGTGGGTGTCAGACTTCTACATCGCAAACCCTTTAACATCTTAAAGCCTAAAGCTAACTTCGTCTCCTCCCAACCTTTCTCCTGGACCTCTAACACGGGAGCTGCGATTTTGGAGCACTCCCGAAGCAAGATGCCTTCAATGCGAGAATAATGTTCGTTAAAGGGTTACTTAAAGTGTTATTTTTGGGGTTCTTATGGTGGTGAGTTTTCTGTTGTTTTTGTGTAGTATAGGGGCTATGAAACCGCCAGCCTTACAGTTTCCTTTGCTGACAAACCCGTGCCTTTTCTTCAGGTACGACGGCGTCTCGCAGCTGCTAGTCGAAAACCCACTCAACCGCTATCTGCTGAACAGCGCTATGCTTCCTTCCATGAAGGTCGCAGAAGACGGTTCCTCAGCAATGGCTTGGGGTTGAGGGCATGTTGGCTGAGAATCCTGGGTGCACTTATTAGAGTAAACTATAGCATACTGTAGCTTCGTATATACAGTAAAGCATGTCATAGTAAACTACAGCTTACATCAGTTTACTATAGTGTGTTGAAAGTGGATATGATATGTTGTGATAAATATAACGACTGCACTGCCTAATGGAGCTTCAGTCATCAGATGTAGGCCCCTCTTGACTTTAGCTGTTGCACAGCACAGGGGTCGCACACGTTCTTAATCTTTTTGGGTTTCAGAGTTTAGGATAACATTCTCCCTCCAGTTTCCTTCTTATACAAAGGTATAGTCTGTCCCAAACCCCTACGCGCCGCTTGCATCCGATGACTTCAAAATCTTGCCTAAACCCTAAACTCGAAGCCTAAAACCCTAAGCCTCTAAACCCTAAGCCTAAATTCGTGGGTCCGAGCCTTTTTCAAAGATGTGGGCTTGCTGGCTACTGGGTGGGGATCAGGGCGTTATGGTTAGGCTTCAGGGGCCCTGGGTTAGGGTTTCGGCATTTGGGCTTGGGGGCTACTTAAAACCGAAGCCCTCAACCCTGAACCCGTAACTTTAAACCCTAAACATTAAACCTTGTAAACCCTAAACCCTAAACTTTAAACCCTAAGTTTAAGCCTTAAGCGGGATTTAGGGGTGTCGGGCGTATACATCACCCACTGGAATGCGGTCCTTACAGCCAGCCTTATAAATGCCAGAATTCTGCATGCATATCGAGTTAGAGATATATACATATATATATATATATGTACCATACTTCTGCAATCTTCTGCATACTATGGTATACTATCTAAACCCTAAACCCAAAACCCTAACATTCGAGTTATTGAAAAGCCCCGATGCGCCCCGAAGCATTCTAGACGAAGGCCCTAAACCTCCAAACCCTAAGCCTGAATTCGCTGTTCTGTTTCCCCCTGGTTGGTTCAAAGTGCAGTAAATGACTAGTGGATAGTATGGTGCATTATCGTATACTAGAGTAACGCCCTAAATCCCTACACCCTAAGCCCTTACACCCCCAAAGCCCTAAAGCCCTAAAATCCAAAACCCTAACCCTAAACCCTAAACCCTAAAACCCTAAACCCTAAAGCCCTAAACCCCAAAACCCTAAAACCCTAAAACCTAAGCCCTACAACC